GCAAGAAATTAAGATTGAGTTCAGTCCATATGAGTTTGGATTTGTCATTATCCTTGTCTTGTGACTATGGTTTTGACAATTCACATGGATAAGAACACATACACCATTAAATCTAAGTGTCATAAGGTTTCTCTCCGATTCATGAAAATGATGGTGAGGAAACACTTTGACTAAGTAGATTTTAGTTAGATAGCAATTGTGATATTTGCATTCTCAAAGTCGTTAGTGGAGCGTGTGTGGTTTACCGGCACACTAACTTGGACTTGTGAGAAATGGCAAAGGTCAAAACGATCAAGACTATGATTACGGCATCCCTTTTCATAGTTCTTAAAATTGTTTTGACACACCCATAGCTATCTAAGGGAAGGTGTATGTTTTTGATAAAGTCTTATCAAAACAATCTAGTATCAGAAATCTGAACTTTGGTAAGAAAGTCAATAAAGTATTGATTTCTAGAAGTCGAGCTTTCTGAGTATATGTCAAAGCTAGTGGGAGCATAAGTGTTATGCTAATAATCATCATGTTAGTGGGAGCATGATAATTACGATAAGTATTGCAAGCTAGCAATGTTAATTATAGAAAACAAAAGGTTTCAATGGGAAAAGTTGTTTTGCTATAATTAAGGGAGAGGAAATTATACTTCATCTCAAATCTATAAGCTTAGATCGTGAGGTTTTAATCATTTAGTCAAGGATATATATGAATTTCATGTTGGAATGGCTCAACATAAGGAAATTCTGTATATGGGTCCATTATTTGCGTTCTTAAATTCGATTATGATTACGGCATCCCTTTTCATAATCTGAATTATGAGAACTTGGCAAATTGAAATGGAAATGTTATAGCAAAAGACTGGTTTAGTCTTTATGTGAGACATCATGAATCGTGTCCCATATGCTTCGGATATAGGATCGATTACATGTGCTATATTCATCCTTTCTAAAATTTTCCAAATGCCTGGGGCATTAAGAAGGAAAAGGTTTAGAACTGGATATGACTAAAAGGATTAAACAATTGTCGAGGACAATCTAAGGTTTACCAAAGATTGGTTTCTCAAGGACAATTGGAAGTATAGTGATAATTCTGGAAGGACCATATTGACATAATCTGTAAGGAGGCAACTCTTGTTCAGAAGTGATAGTCAAAATGGAATCTGGAAATGTTTCAAAGTTAGAATTTTCAATCTGTGTAAGATTAAGGAAACTTAATGCAAGAAGGATGGTTCCAAGGACTTGATCTCCTTTGGAATGCTCTGTAATGATTGTTGTTAAGTCTTTCTGACTTTGTGCATAATCATTACAAGAGGATCGATGCATATAAGTTTAGAATCTAACAGATTTCAGTAAATGACATGAATTTGGAATTCTTGCATTTGCAGTAAGGATTTGGGAGTGTGAAAAGAGAATCATTGAAGTTATGTTCATTTGATCTAGTTCACAAAATAAAGATCATAGACATATTATGCATACTTGGTGTATGGCATGACTATTGTTTAGAAAACATAGTGTGCATGCTTGGAGCATGGGACAACTATTGTTTTAAATTCAAGAATAATGTTGATAGCTGAAACAATATACAATGAATAATGTGTAATCATATGGTGATAAATAAAAGGAGTTTTATTTATATTCATAAGTTCTGAGACCATATTGGATTCAATTATTATTGTGTTTCACTTTGCATGTTTTGACTTCCCGAATAAACTAGGTTATTCTTCCGGAATGACTAAGTTATTCAAACCATCCACAGTCGGTCATATGTTGGAAGTAGATATGAATTAAGACTGTCATGGGTTGGCTTGTAGAGGTCTAAGTTGTTGGACAAAGGGCTACAACACTCATGAGTGCTCATAAGTTCTGAGTATTGGATTCAACCCGCGCTCATTGGAATCACTTCATGGATTTTATCACGAGTGATCATGAGACGATAATATCTTATATTCTTCAAACCTAGAGATATGAGTTGTTACTATGAGTTGGTTGTACATTGATTGCACGAAACTGCATTTGGTAACTCGGTGCTATAAAACGTGTCTTTGTGTATGATTCAACAAGTAGTAGAACAAGCCATATGAGTCGAAGTTTATCCATTCCTTTTACCTTCGGGATGAAAGCGATATCTGTGGGCCCCTCGATGATTTGATGATGACAAATGGAAGTGCTCGGCCGGGCCAGGACTGATTTGATTTGTTCAATTAGTCAGTCGTCATAAATCGGAAATCGGGAAACAACTAATGGACAGAGAGAATGATTATAATCCATGTCTCAGTCCATATGATATCTAGAATGGAGGAATATATGATCCCTTATCTAATGGACAAGTCGTTGACAAAATCAGAGTTCATCTACAAGGTCAGAGTTCGACAGAAGCTTTTGAGAGCTACGATTGCTAGTTGGTTCCTGAAGTCATACGCAATAATAGTTTTAGACTTATCCAAGTGGGAGACTGTTGGATTAATGTCTAAGTCCATAACTATAATTGGTAAGACTTGACCCGACCCGGCATGGTCCATTTGGGTTGCATGGCATCATGCACTTGGATAGACTATAATGAGAGAAATAAGACACTTATGGTTATTAATATATTATAAGTTCTAGTATATTAATAATAAGAATAATAAGATTATTTAATTAGTATTGATCAAGAATTAATCTAGGATTAATTAAGTGATCAAAAGAAGACTAATTAAATATATGGGTTGATTGTGTAAATCATCCATACTTATATAGTGGGCTAATGCTCCATGGATTATCTAGTTGGGCCAAAACCCATATGATGCTCCATGGATGCTCCATGGTGTATTTGAACCCATGGATCCAAGGAAATGGAAAGTCATGACAATTAGGGTTTACCCTAATTGTAACACTATATAAAGATATTATTCTTCCCAAAATCGGTGACTAGAATATACTAGAGAGGGCTAACCGATTTCATGAAGTGTTCTAGTTTCTCTCAAGTTATTCCAAGTGTATTTGGTGTTGTGTGAACCATTTGAGGCATCACCACTTGAGGTGCTAGGCTCACAAGGTTTCAAGGAACACAAGCAACAACAAGGTATGTATTCTATCTTGTTATATTGATATATTGTATGCTAGATTAGGATAATACCTTGGATGTTTATATTTGCATGTATAATAGAGAAAACATAGATCCAAGGTATTTAGGGTTGCATGTACACTTAGGAGTGTTAGAATGCTCATAACCCAACAGCGAGTACGCGGGGCGTACTTCGGATGAGTCCGGTGACTCCTCTTCGGATAAGGCCGGATTTAATAATTAAATTTAATTATTAATTATTTAATAAACTTCAAAAATTCATATCTTCTTCATACAAACTCCGTTTTCGACGTTTTTTATATCCACGCGAAGGTGAGACTACGCTCTACAACTTTCGTTTAGACTCCGTCGGCTAATTTTGATTTATTTTTATTATTTATTTTTAATAGGCCGGGACAGAAAATTTCGTTATAAATTCATAACTTCTTCGTTTAACGTCCGTTCTTGCCTAACTTTTTATCGCTTCGATACTAACAACGAGATCTTCGATTCTCGTTTAGATCATTAAGGATAAATATCGCTCTAACGTAAATTTCACTTTTTACGTTATTCAGCGCTGTCGGTTCTGTCGTGAAACTTTGACAGGTCATAACTTCGTCGTTATAACTCGAATTTCAGCATTCTTTATATCTTCGGAAACCCTGTTTCAACTACTACAACATTATCTAAAGATATCAAGTTTATTTTACACTTCAATTTTGATGCTTATTTTTATTCTTAATTAATCAAACCACATAATTAAGCAATTAAACACAAAACACATAATACTCAAATAATACACTTCTATTATTTCAAAACGGATTACAAAGGTTAACCTAGATTATTACATTGCTAAAAATAGCAAGCCCAGAAACACAGGCGTTACAAAATATTACAAATTATATTATAATAAATAAATTTTTTATATATAATAAATTTAAATTAATTATTGCTTTATTATAAATAATTATTAAATAGATAAAACTGTATTTATAATAAATATATCAAGATCACAATCATATTTGATTACTATATTTTATAAATCATATTACCGTATTTCAAGTCTTTAGTATATATTTAATTTTTTTTATTGAATTCGATAAATAAATATTAGACTCTATATTTACGATTAATCAATATAAATTAGTATATAACATGATGTTACAAATATTAATATTACATTTAACTTATAATTAGTAGACAAAAATAAACTAAAAATATATAAAATAAAATGAGACTAAAATTGACAACTAAAACTTCAACTCAAATTTTGGAGATATGAATAATATACCCCAAAATATGGGGGGAATACTATTCATATCTCCAACTCACCCTAAATGCTATTTTTTCTTTCATTTTCTCTCACATTCTTTTCCAACACTACCCTATTTCTTCCCTTATATTTGGTGATATGAATAGTATTACCCCATTTCACATCTTAAAATATGGGGATGGAGTTTCAATTGTTGGATTTAATCCTTCGTTTTATATATTTATATATTTTTAGTTTATTAGTTTAATTTAAATATAATATTTAATATTTATAATATTTTGTTATATAATAAAATTATATTAATTAATCATAAGTATAAAATTATTTATATTTATCGAATTCATATAAAAATTTAATTACATATTAAAATCATGAAACACGCTAACGTATTTACAAAAGCATGTATAATATTTATTTTTATGAATTCATGTATAATATTTATTTATAAGTGTATTATAAATATAATTTGGTTTATTTAATATTAATGTAATGAAAAAAATATAAATTATATATTTGTTAAAACTAAATTAACGGAGAAGGTGTGTTTGATAATTTATATAAATTGAAAAAATAGAATATATTAGAAATATATTTTTTTGGATAAAAAATAGGATAAAAATGAAATAGTACGGAAGATCAAACAATATTTATTTATTATATTTTTTAAGGGAAAAAATGAATTGAAGATGATAAATTTAACAGTTTGATAATCGTTAGCTTCAATTTTCACAAAAGAGACAAAGGAATATTATATTTATGAATTATGACAAACCAACCTGCTATACTATTCATGCAGAGGAATTGGCATTTGGCAATTCGCAGTTTTGGAAGCTTGAGAATCCATGCTACGTTACACATTTGATCATCGGTTTAGTGGTACCAGTCCATGACTAATTGTTCATAAATCATAACGTATATCAGGATTTTGTTTTGGAAGATGCTACACTACTGTAAACCTAGAAGAGGGGGTGTAACATCGTAAAAGAACGGATTTCTGAGATTGGATGTGTGATGTGTGAGGGCTAATTCATTGATTCAACAATGTCTACGAACCATGACCGGTCGGAATCACAAAACGGCGACAATCCAGATCCCAAATCTCCTCCACCCGAAGACGCTGCGATCCAATCGACGGACGGGCCATCACCTGGCAACAATGTGGATCACCATTCGAAGCTCGACCAAATCATCCCGTCCAATGATACTGATATGGATTCCACCGATGTTGATCCAGAACCGGAACCGGAACCAGAACCCCCAAAAGAACCAACACTTACTGTGCTACCGAAAGACCAAATCATTGCGTCCAATGATGCTGATATGGATTCCACCAATGTTGATCCGGAACCGGAACCCCCAAAAGAACCAACGCTTACTGTGCTACCGAAAGACGAAGCGAAACCGTCTGTCGCTATGAGAGAATTGTTAGGTGAACTGAAGAATGTCGATGTCAATGAAGATTCTCCATCGGCCGCAGTTGCCACGCCTTCTCGTAGGTCAGGCTTCTCCCAATTTGGTTTTTACAGTTGTGTAATATGTAATTTTAATGAAATTCCTGTATAATAACAAATCAACTCATGTAAAAACCTAATTCTTCATTACTTTCCCTTTTGCATGCACTCAACTTGCTTCACTTCAGTCAAGATAACAAACAACCTAAAGGACGAAATAGTGCTGCCATGGCCTTGATTAATAGTATCTCGAGTTCTGACGAAGAGGGAAGAACAAGGCAACGAATGCTTAAGTTTGCTGCAAAGAGGTGTAGCCATGTTATCCATACCTCACCACTTCGTCTTTGTATTCATGAGCGTGTTTTTCATATAAAGATTGTCATATTTTCAGGTACGCAAGTGCAATAGAGAGCAATCCAGATGATTATGATGCACTTTATAACTGGGCGTTGGTTCTTCAGGTCTGTTTCTGTGTACCTGTGTGGCTAAATAACATTCATATCGCTGTTTGTAATTGGACACTGGTTCTTCATGTGATTACAGGAAAGTGCAGATAATGTTAATGCAGATACTAATTCACCTTCCAAAGATGCTTTACTTGAAGAAGCCTGCAAAAAGTATGCTGAAGCTACCAATTTAAACCCTGCCCTTCATGATGTGAGAAAAAACTTAATCTGATTTTGATTACAATTTTCCCTCTGTACATATGCTAATTGAGTAATTTCTACCTGTTGTCCAACTACAGGCTTATTATAACTGGGCTATTGCCATATCTGATAGAGCCAAACTCCATGGACGCACAAAGGAAGCTGAAGAACTATGGAAACAAGCAACAAAGAATTATGAAATAGCTGTCAAACTAAACTGGAACAGTCCACAGGTAACTTCAAAAAAGAAATGTAGCTCTCTTTCATCTGTAAATTCCCTGCTTCTTGTTTATGACTTTGTGATGAAATTAAATTCAGGCTCTTAACAACTGGGGACTAGCTTTACAGGTGCTTCATTTGAAACTTTCTAATATAGTCCTAAACATTTTATACGTTTTGTTTATGCATATTGATTAACATCTATAATGGTGTGTCACAGGAATTAAGTGCAATTGTTCCTGCACGTGAAAAACAGACTATAGTAAGAAGTGCAATCAGTAAGGTAATCAAACATTATAAAAAGTAAAAACATCACCTTTTTCTTATAATTTTTCACCATGAATGGATTGTTATTAACCACATTTACAACCACCTATGAAGTTTCGTGCAGCAATACAGTTGCAATTTGACTTCCACAGAGCAATTTACAACCTTGGCACTGTTCTGGTGAGTTAGTTTGTGTAATTTCTTTCCCAATATAATAAAATATCATTGTATATACTATTTATGACATTTGATATTTTTGTGTCATGAATAATCTTGTTTTGTTGCAGTATGGATTAGCAGAAGACACATCAAGAACTGGAGTACCTGTTGTTGGAAATGAGATTCCTTTCAATGAATTATACAGTCAATCTGCTATCTATATAGCTGCTGCTCATGCATTGAAACCAAATTACTCAGTTAGTATACTGTATACCTTCTTCTATTGTTTCATGTAGAAATTTCAAAATTGTTTAAATGACCTTTTCGTCCATCTTATGCATTCAGGTTTACTCCAGTGCCTTGAAGCTTGTCAGGACTATGGTAAATATTATTCATTAACATTTCCATTAAAAAAAAAAATGATAATTCATTTTTGTACATTGTTTTTTTGCAGCTTCCTTTACCTTATTTAAAAGTGGGTTATCTTACATCCCCACCAGTGGGGAATCCAGTTGCACCACATTGTGACTGGAAAAGATCCAAGTTTGTTTTGAACCATGAAGCGCTTCAACAGGTATATGATTCTATTCTTTTTCTGTTGATGTTAATTAAGTAAGTTGATGATTCTTACTTTTCAATTGTTGTAGATTCATGATGATCAACAAAAACAAATATCTGGAGATAGAACGAGTATCCGAGTTGAAATTCTGAATATTGTTTCAGTAAAAGAATGCTCAGATTTGACTTTACCACTTGGTCCTTCCTTCTCCATTGATACAATTCATGAACCATTCTTCTTGGTACTTCCCATCTTCTCTCTTTCTAATTTTAATCAACAATTTAAAATGTTTGATTAATTAATTAATCAATCAATTATATGTTCTTTCTTTTCTAATCAGATTGCAGACTCACGCGAATACATGGACACATGGCTCGATGCTATTCGCCTGGTCTACACAATATTCGCCCGGGGGAAAACCGATGTTCTAGCTGGGATAATAACAGGATAGAATCCTATTCCTATAATCCTGTTTCACTTGATATTCTTTAATTCTTTTGCCTTTTTTTCTTTGTATAAAAGTTCAATCATTATAGAATAAACTCCAACTCAGCATTATTCAACACGTCAACTATGGTTAACAAACATTACTAGTTTACTACTACTGCCTCTAATCTTTCCCAAAACTAATCACAAAATTTATAAATCTAAGAAGAAAAAAACTTCATACAAATCGGAGGCCTAATTTTGGCCAATGCAAGAACCGAAGCTGGTAGGGACCACATACCTTCACCACAGATCAAACCAGAAGCAACCGCTGGCACCATTGAATCCGCCTTTTTAGCATTCACCTTGTGCCACATAAACACAATCAAACTCCCAATACACATATCAATAGCAAAATACCCACCTACCAAAAAAGGAACAGCCATACATATAGGCAATGGCATCCATTTCCCTATCTTTTTAGGCAACATATCTTTAATCATATTAATCAACACAGCAAATGCGAAAAAACCATAACAAAGGTCCAAACAATGTTTAGGTAAAGCCGAAAAACCTTGCACCCCAAGAATCGCTAAGTTTCTGTAGATTATCGCGTATGGTGCTTTGTATTCTCCATCAGGGTTTCCAATATCAAAAGCTTTGTAGAACAAAAAGAAGCTCAATGGTGACACCAAGCACCCTATTGCTGTCCCGATTGCTTGACTCACAAGCATCGTTCTTGGAGAAGTCAACGTCAGTTGACCGGTTTTCAAGTCGTGCATCAGAATGCAAGAAACCGAAACCACCGATTTCACCAGCCCACATCCCGCCATTCCCGCCACCACACCGTCCTCTTTTCCCGCCATTGCCGCCATCATGAAAAGCCCGATTTTCCCGTAATTGTAAGCCATGTTGATGTCGGTCAACCCAGCTCCATACGCGTTACAGAAGGCTAAAGATGGAGCAAATATGTAGGAGATGATGACATAATACCATTTAACTTCGGGAAACATGTATGGGATTGCAATCACAGCGATTATAGCTAAAGTTATGTATCCGATTGCTCCTATTGACATGGGAATGTTTTCTCTTAAGAAAACCTCGTTTTGTTTTAGCTCAATTTCACTCACCTTCTTCTCGCTAACTGGATTCAGGCTTTTGTTCTTGAATCTTCCGTGTACACTCATGGATGTGATGTATAGTATCTTGACGAAGTTGTATAGACCATCTCCTAGGATCAGAGCAATGGAAATAAAGGCTTTGTAGCCATTGAGACTTTTCATGCTGCTTTCAGGCAACCCATCAGGATACCAGTCTCCTTTGTTTTTTCCAATTAAGGGCCACATTATACCCCATGAAATCACAGCTCCAATTAGCAACGACAAGTTCACAATGTGAGGACAAATCATTCCGGTTCCCACATAAGTCATACTAAAGTCAAAGTAAAACCTACAAACAAATTCAAACAAACCCACTAATCAGAATCAATGGAAAAAAAAAGTTGTAGTAACTAAGAACAGACATACGTGTTCTTCCAAGCTTTTAAACCGAATGTAGGAAACTGAACAAATCCGCAATCTTCTTCTTTTCCTGTAAAGAACCACTGAAAAAACCCCCATAGAAAGCTTGCAGAAAAGTACTTTGCAAATCCCTTCACTTGCTTCCTACAATCCAAAGAAAGAAATCATGAGTTCTTTTTTTGACATATTATTATTATTATTATATATGTCTAGTTTGAAAAGAAATGGGTTAATTTAAAAAAAAAAAAAAAATACTTTGCCATATCATCTCCTTGAGTATGAAATCCATTAATAAGAACCGCAGTCGCCATCCCACTTGGAAACACCAACTTATAGTCCACGATTAAAACCTGCAACCAACCAAACCAAACCATTAAGCAGTCATGAAATATATATATATATATATATATATATATATATATATATATATATATATATATATATTTATATTTATTTATATATAAAATCAGAAGAAAGGAAAATAGATAGATAGATAGATAGATGTACCTTGCGTAGTGGGATCAATACAAAAAGACCAATAAAACAGACCAAGAAAGAGTAGCCCATCATCCAACCAACACCAGGTTCTTTATAAGTCCCTGGAGAATTCACACCTCCAGCCATCTCATATGTTTTCTTGTTTAATCCCAGTAAATAAGATCCATATCCACCTACGCAATCATCAAAAACCCATAATTAATTTAAAAAAAAAAAAAAACAAACAAAGAAGATGTTGATGATGATGGATGATATTTAATTGAATTGAATTGAATTTCACCTCCAATAGCAATGCTGTAACAGGCAACGGAACATGTCTGAATCATGGTGTTCTCATGTCTGGTAAAGGGAACAGATGAAATCCCTGATTTCTGAAGCATCTTTGTCCAAGTCCTCATGAACACAAAAGCAAGAAGTGCAGCCGAGACATTCATATTAGGTGTCATTCCAGTTGTCAGATTCAATTTCATTGCTATGATACTGTAAATACTCCCTATGATACAACTTGCCACAATCCCACGAACTGTAATCTGCTTTGTCCATGGCTGCAGCCTCCCTGAACCACCCTCCTCCACACCATCACCATCACCATCATTTTTCTTCGCATCTTCCATTTCACCTCTTTTCTCTCCCTCAATCTCCCCATTCATCATGGATCCTACATCAACATTTACCAATTAAACAACATAAAAACAAACAATCCAAATTGCAAATATATGTGTATCATCTCCCTCACCTTTTATATCGGGTACCATTCAAGCACACTCTTTGATCTTACTTATACTTGTATATATAATATATATATATATATATATATATATATATATATATATATATATATATATATATATATATATATATTCCCTCCAATATAATCGAATACAAGTTTGGATATGAAAGTATGAAACTATGAATGTGATGCGTTTTCTTTCTCCATCCGACAAGTATAACAATAGAGTCTACTGCTATTGTGCTTACAAACACAACTAGTATTTGAAGGATGTTACTTTGCACTTTACCACCCTCTACTTCATTTAACTCTAAATCTTGGATGTGACTTTTTGTCATTCGTATTCGGTTGAAAACAAGACCAGTAGTTCAAAAGGTTACGTTTTTAATTTAGCATCTTATACTTTTTTGTTTGAAATGACGTTAAATAGTTTTCTTTGTTGAGACTGATCTAAAATTTGAGTAATTTAGTTGATTAAAGGACATGAGATTGTTTCGTTAAGTTTGGACTCGTTATGATACCCGGTATAAGTGCAAGGGGTTAATGTGCAATAATAGCTTTCTTTGAATTTGTTTTGCTTTCTTAGATATTTATTCTACCATTATTCTAAAGAAAAATATTGGTTTAGAATACTATTTTGCATACGTCGTTCTTTCTTTGTTGATAGAAATCATTAACAAACACATAATTTAATTTGGCATATAATGTTCTTAAAAGATTCAACTAGCAATCAATTAGTTTCTGACATATAATGGCTGTTGATGAAGAGTTATATAAATATAGAGCAAACATACTTTTTGAAGTTGAACAAAATAAAAGGAAAATATGTGCAGGTAATGGAATTTAGAAAAAAATAATAATAATAAAATGAATAGAAAAAGTGAAAAGACCCATGGAGAATGGTGACCTCACAATCGGTTGATGGTGTATGGTAAGGAGTGGGGAAAATTGATCCCGTTTTGTAAGGTTGTGATTTGGAGATGAAAAAAGCGTGTGGAACATTTGCTCCTCTCTCATTGCCTCTCCACATCCTTCCCTATCACAATTTTATTCTCTTAAATCTCTTTATATCATTTAAGAAATAAAAAATTATAAACCAAATCATCTAACCAGCTTTAGATTAACCCATCTCAAAACCCACATGTACACTAAATCATGCAACACTCATAATATTTTGGGCATGTTTTGGTTTAAAGTTTGAATCATAAAACTTATGTATTACAAACATGTTTCAACATATATCATTATACTATGTAATATTGTAGATTTTTGAATTATCTGTTCTGTCCATGTTTTATTTATGTTTGTTGCTTAATGGGATATGTGCGTCAGCCCATGTAAAACCAAGCCGGCTGAGAAACCCGATCCGATAAAAAGTCATAAACAACAAATAAACGTGGGTTGGTAGTCAACCCACCAAGATGTACCGACCACATACACCAATAATTGTCCTATCTCCTGGACATAACATATAAAGCAATATCATAAGAAACACGGAAAAAGCAACCTTATTTTAGGACCAAGGAAGGCCCGAAAGAAAAGACTATGGACTGGGTAAAACCCTAATTATAAAACGAACCTCAATCCCTCCGAAAGGGGTAAGCATTCTTTAGCAATTTTACTCAAATCCTAATCCAAAGCATGACATCTAAGTTAGGCATCAGAGAGAAATATCGGGGTTCCATCCTCGGTATGGCTTTCTAACCTAGCTTTGTCAATTCTGTGCAGCGTGAGTGGAGAAAGCCTAAATAAGGGTAGCCGGATACGCACTAGGGATATCACATAGCAACATTAGCGTCATCCGTATACAAACATGCAAGACAAGCAAAATACTTCACGTCTTCTTCCTGATACACCTTTTAGCCAATCAACATAATCCCTGCCTTTACACCAACCATAACAACAACTTTGAACCATCAGAGCCTTCATGGCATCCTCATCCTAACAACAAATACCACCTACTACTCAGCCAAACGTGCAACCTAAGGCATAGGGAAACAATCAAACGACAGAAAAAACTAAGAAGGCTAGGCATGCAATCTCAATGAAATGGAAACGACCAGTAGTTAAATACATCCGGGAGAAATATGTCTGGAAGACCTATAAGGTCAAACCCCAGAAACAATGACACGACGATACAAGCATTACCACCTTTGCTACAACAGTCCCTCGCAAATACCACGATTACCCAACAGAACATACCACCATACATGTCATTACCACCACCATTCCCATACGCACATTACCAAGCATATTGGCCTCCCCAACATCAACTAACATATGCTTTGCAACCCACATCAGGAGGATAATTAATGCCTCATCTACAACAAACTACGCAACTGGAAAAAAACAATAGATAAAATAACACAAATGGAGATGCAAGCAGTAGATGGGTAGGTCAGACAACTCACTTATGATAAGAAGCATACACGAGCACCAACTATATGTCGGAACAAACATATAAGAAATTACGAAGCAGGATGAGACAGGAGATCCTGATGACCATATTGAGAACTATAGATGGACAATGGACGCTTACTCTTTGGATGAAAAATATTAGTGTATATTCTTCCCAACCGCTTTATCAGGCGCAACACGATTATGGTACAAAAGTTTACTAGCGAAAAACATACACAATTTTAATCAGCTCAGGGAAGAATTCGTGGGACATTTCGTCCAACAAAGTAGATGTACGGTAGATGCATAAGCTATATTTGGATGTCGGTAAAGAGAGGACGAATATTTAAGTGTATTCGTTCGAAGGTTCAACAAAGCCACACTCAACACACCGGAGAAAGCAGATAACATGGTGATCGCCGCATTTATATATGGGTTGCGCCCAGGAACCTTATTGAAGAAATTAATTGGTAAACAATCGTTGTCAAGAAAAGAAATTATGGAGAGAGTTCATCGGTACATGAAACAAGAAGAAGCAGAATCCGAGAAATAAAAAACCAACCATGGAGGAAAGGTTAACCGGACATCCTATGCTAGAGGCCACATATTGGAAAATACAAGACACCAAAGTATAAAGCAAACCCGCTTAAACCGTTTCCCACACCCGCATCGAAATCCATTAATAGCTAGGCATGGTTCTCAAAACGAGATAGCCACGGTAAATGAAAACAAAAAGAACATAGGGGGAAAAGTGGAGAGAAGATAGGAAACAAGGATCATAAAGCGAGTTCCATGAGTTTACAGGACATGACACCATTGAATGTACTATGTTACGACAGGAACTAGAAAACAAAATACAATTAGGAAAACCGACAGACCTGATCAAAAGTCTTCAATCTAAGCACTTGGAGAGTATAGCACCCACAAAACCAAATGTAACGAATGCAAGGAAAAACGAAATATTCATGCAGCAAAACATTGACCACGACGAAACAATTGGTGAATGGGAGAACTATACGTTCACATTCTATGAATGGTATTACAGTCGCGATAACCATAAAGGGGATGCGGTAATCATAATTGGAGGATTAATGGGGAAGAACTACATGAACGAAATCTATGTTGACAGTGGGAGCTCCACAAACGTTATGTACAAGCTTTTCTTCCGCCGACTACATTCATAAAGGTCGAGTGCCACACTCCGACCAAGGCTACCTACTTAGCTTAAGAATATCCTTATTCTTGTAAAACATTGTAGCTTGGTCAATCAACTATATTCACAAAGGTCGAATACCACACTCCAACCAAGGCTACCTTCTTAGCCTAGGAACATATTTATTCTTTTAACCCAAGAATGCATTTTTTTTCTTTGCACAAAGTCACTTGGTTAGGTACAAACAATTATGCATGGGACAAAAACAATGTCCTAACCCAATATACTTGATAAGGAGTATATAAATTGGTGCAACCAAGCGATTCGACTACCTGGAAATAGAGCAAAATATTCAGACCCAGGTTAATTACTCTACTTAAAAGGACATGACATCCTTTAAATCCATGACACGTATACAAACAGACTCAAGGATCAAGAACACAATATTCAGATAAACAACATTACAAGTTACCACAAAGTTTGAAATCCTTACAAAAGAACCTGGATAACCCATATAGGAAATATAAGAATAGCAAATTGTATTACAAATCGAATTAGACTAACAACACTAGGAGAAAATAGACAAGAAATTCAGTAACAAGGAACAACCACAAGTTTCATTAAACCATACTACAATAACAAGTCAAGTGGTACACAAAAACACTACGAGAGGGAATGCATACCAGCATTCAAGCTCCACCACCACCTCCAGCACCTGTCGACGTCCCGCCATCACCATCACAATCAACCAAATCCCGTAATTGCTTTACATCACTAAAGGGAAAACCTAGCTTAGATAGATAGTCACCATAAAACAAAGCAGAATTCGCCTTCTCTATCTTCTGAAAATGAGTAGGATCATAGAGTAGTATATCGGTAGCAGATAATCCCAAGTTGTGCTCTGGGTTCATCTTCTCACAACCCTGTCTTTGACCATAATAGACACAAATAGTTTTCAAATCCCGATTAACATCATAAAAGGAAGAGTCAACAATAAGCATATCCACCACTTTGGTCATCCATTAGATAAAATCCATGACATATCCTCATTCTCGTTACGCAGGTGATTCTCCAACCCAACCACACTCGTCTGTAAGTATGTGTTTTTCAAAGTAGATTCATTCAAATCACTCTTTAACTTTTGAACACCATGCTCCAACATTGTTATTTATCCAAGAATCTAGTTTTCTCTAATTCACGAGAAACTGTTGTAGTCTTTAACATAGCAACCTCCTTCTCCACATCTCGCTAACCCACCAATTTACTCTCAAGGATAGCCCTTTCATTCTGAAATACGACAAGCTCATTCCTCATCTTCTCCACCTCAGCCTAAAAAACCATGCCAATAGTAGGGGAGACTTTCTCCAGCTCAACAACTTTCTCCACAAAACTCACATAATGGTCACGACATGTCTGAACATTATAGGAAACTCCTCCATATAAAGCTACGTACGGTCTTATAAGGCCGGGCACCCTCCTAAAGTCATCATGTAGGCTAAGATTCTCCAAGTGTAATGTCTCATTCTCATCCAACCATGACATAACCTCATGCCCAAACCATGTTTTCCACAAGTTTGATTTTGAACATATCCTATATATGTTCCTGGTGACCCTGACCAACACTCAACCGCATGCCAGGGGAAGCAAAATTGTCAAAAGGGCATATATATATATATATATATATATATATATATATATATATATATATATATATATATATATATACATATTGGGCTCCATTAAGCTTTTATCATGCCTGTATTCCTAAGATGGAAAAAAATATAGGACCAGAGGGATGAGGGACATTGGCATCATGAGGGGGATCTTCGCTTGACTTTTAGTTGAGCGATTTAAGTGGAAGACCAATGCACACCAAGGCTATCAACAAAAGAACAAAAAGTAACAGGATCCAAGGAACGAGACCTCTTTACAATTCTACCACTACTACCCTCGCCACCAGACATAACAGCCACAAGAGCTGCAAAAGCGATTGAATCCCTACCCCTCTTACAACGAACCATGGGTCGCAGTCCACCTTCGCCTTCATCATCACTCCCAAAAACAGTAACAAGGATGGTGGTGACATTTGGAGTTTGCTCACCTATATCATCATCATATGAATCGTGAACTATGACTAAAGACTCTGATTCCTCCTCATCCTCCTTCTGATTTTGTGAATTAATGCCTTCGCTCCTGCTACCATCAAAACTGTCATCAATAATGGGAAGATTATAATCATCTGAACCAAGATCATGTGCTGAAATCTTACCCTCAACAAACTCATACAAAAGGAAGGGTAATCGTTTTCCATATGCAAAAATAAACAAGTAAACGATTAGTGAAAATGTTGACAAATGATTAGCAACAAAGTAAACGAGTACCTAGTCCTCGAACCAAAAATGAAGGAACCACACCCATACGCAACCAATAAGGGCTCATACTAGCCTGACCCAACATAGCTTTAGGGAAATTTTTCATCATCACATTCAAGCGTGAAATCTTATCTATGTCTTGACTTAGATGAAGAGTCCTATCAGGTTTCTAATCGATAATCATACCAGGAGCATAAAAGTCATTAGGATAAGGAAAGCAAGATGTATTTAACCAAATAAATTAATTGTTCCATTTCATGATAGACTCAGGGAGGCCCTCGATGAAACTTCACCCCAAGAACGGAAGTAATACCAAGCACCATTGCTATAGAAACAAATTGGCAGTAGGAACAACGAGAGAGGCATGGAAAAATAACTTAAAGAAAACAACTTTCAAAATAGAATTAGGCTTCAAACAAAAAGTATGGATTCTATACGACTCAATGACCGGGCCAAAGAAAGAAGGGGGGACACAAAGGCCAACCTCAAAGTAATAAAGATAAAAACCAACTTTACTTGTTGGCAGATGATCAATAACCATTGTAGGACCAAGAAGAACAACTCTATATTTATCAACAAGATGATATTTTGTGGAAATCTGTTCAAGACATTCGTGAGTAACGGAAGAATGAACCGCATACATTAAGGGAAGAGACATATTCTTAGTCTAAACAAAAGAAATAATCAGGGAAAGGAAGAATAAACGAAAACACAGGGTGAAGGTATCAAAAGAAAAACTGACAGATGGATGTGAAAAGTTGTAACGCCCCAAAAATACGAACCAAAAATTTCATTTTTAATTTAATAAAATGGTAATCCAAAACATTGTCATACAACCAAGATAGGCCAAAGTATATTACTATATCACAAAACATCAAAGTAAATCACAAAATGCGGAATCAAGCAGTGTGTACTCTGCAGTCATCCTGGGTTCTTCCTTTTCGAACCAGAAGTACCTGAAACATAAACTAAAAACCGTAAGCACAAAGCTTAGTGAGTTTCCAAAAATACCACATACCATACACGATAAACACATATTGGGTCCCCGCTCGACATCGAGTCCCACTCGGCCACGGGCCCCACCCGACATCGAGCCATGCTCGGTTTACAAATCTATCAATCACCAGACCCCGCCTGACATCGGGCCCCACCCGATACACATATAATCATACTAACATATGCGGTAATCACAAAGATAATTGCAAATAATGCAGTCATCGGGCCTCGCCTGACATCGAGCCCCGCTTGGTATACATACCAATGCATATACATGTAAGAATCACTCAAACATCTAGCATCCCAAAATAATAAACCATGGCCCGACATTGGTGCCTTCGAACCGCTAAAAATAGTGAGGAAACTCCTCTCAGACTGTTGAATCTCATAGATTAATCGCTGGCTGCCCGTATGACAATACCCGCGATATCACAATAAAATAACATCCAATTAATAATTCGATCCCGAATCATACCAAGAGTCTAAACTAGGGTAAAATACTATTTTACCCTTTAACTAAATTGGCCTAAGGCCCAAACCCAAACCAACTACTCAAAAGGTCTAAATCCAAAAATCGTCACCCAAAATCCACATATGGCCCGATCTTCCAAATTAGGCTCAAATCCCTTCGTGGACCTTCAACCAAAAGAATCCAACAAAAAGAAATTAGCCCAAAATATAATTATGATAGCCCAACAAGGCCCTAATCTCGTAATGTCCAAATATGGGCCCAAAATCAAGAAGCCAAAAATCCGAAGCCCACCTGCTGAGTACACGGAGGGGGGGGGGGTACTCAGCTCATACGCTTAGCGTACTCCCTCTGGGGCAAGTACGCGCAACGTATCAACTTAACATACTCCCCAATTGACCACCCTACTTCATTAAACACTTAATCCATTGAGACTCCTAGCCAAATTCTCAGATATAATTCCTTAGGGTGATCTTTCACGTAAAGTTGGAAACTTTACATACATGCATGTCTTAAGGGGGCTCAAGATCTCAAAAAGGACTTAACCAAGGTTTTAACACATGCATGAACCAAGATTCATCATAAAGCTTGCATTTTTATGAATAAGGGAACCAAAAGAAGCCTAGATCTAACACCATAACTTCTGGAGTGAGCCAAGAAGCTCATTAACCACTCTAAGGACTCAAAAAGTATAAAATAACAACATATCTAGATCTAGCATCATGATGATCAGGCTCAAGAAACTTCTCCAAAGGGTCCTCTTCTTTTTCTCCTTCACAAATCCCTAACACACACCCTTTATGGCTCAAAACTCACAAACATACACAATGGTTTCGAGTTCCGAACAAAGGAGGGTGGAGGCTGACTAAACATGACCAAATGAGGCTATCATAAGGTTTATATAAGGTGCAAACCCTAAAATTTAGGGTTTCATTAAAGCTCACGTACGCCATGCGGACTCCATGTATAATCAACGTACATGGATTGAATTCGTGACCATATTCGGGCTAAAACGCTAAGCATACCACCCTGTACGCCCCGCGTACTAGCTTAAGGACCAAAATGAAAAGTTTTGATAAAAATGATTAAATGCAAAACTTATCAAATTCAAGTGTTACAATTCTCCCCACTTGAATCTTACTTCGTCCTCGAAGTCCGCTGCTCCAAATAACTCCGGATAGTGCTCCCCCATCTCATATTTCGGAACCCACGTCCATTCAGAACCCTTGCAATGTTGCCACTGGACTTTCACCAACTCAACAACTTTGTTCCTCAAGGTTTTCATTTTCTGGTCAAGAATCACCACTGGCTTCTCAATATAATTCATGTGGTCATCCACCTGAATATCCTATAATGGAACCACTACGAAATCATCCACTAAACACTTCTGTAGCTGAGAGACATGGAATATGCTATGGATCTGACTGAGCTCATATGGAAGATCCAAGTGATCTGCAACCCGACCCACCCAGGTCAAAACTCTGAAAGAACCAATTTACATGGGGCCTAGCTTGTCCCTTTTCTTGAATTGGATGACACCTTTCCAAGGTAACACCTATAGGAGAACCATATCTCTTACATGTAACTCTAGATCTGTTCGGCGTCTGTCGGCATAACTCTTCTGTAGAATCTGAGCTATCTAGAGCCTATTATGAACCTACTGTATCAACTCTGTGGTCTTGAGTGCCCCCTCGATACTCCCCACAATGCACTGACGAAACTCCCCCCAACAAATCAGGGTCCTGCATTTCCTCCCGTAGGGTATCTCAAAAGGAGGCCGATCGATGCTGGCGTGATAGTTATTGTTATACGGAAATTCTGATAACGGAAGATATGTATCCCAACTCCCACCGAAGTCCAAAACACAAGCCCGAAGCATATCCTCTAAGATCTGAATAGTCTGCTCGCTCTGAACATCAGTTTGCTGATGGAATGTTGTGCTGAAATGGAGACGAGTACCTAACTCATCATGAAACCTCTTCACCTGGAAGTAAACCGAACATCTCTGTCTGAAACCACCGAAACCGGCACCCCAGGCCGTGCCACGAACTCCCTGATATACACATCAACCAATTTCTCCGTAGAAATACTCTCTTCAAATAGGATGAAATGCACGCTCTTGGTCATTCGATCCACGATGACCCAAATCAAATCCACTCCGCGCGCAGTCCAAGGCAACTTCGTGATGAAATCCATGGTAATATCTTCCTATTTCCATATAGGAATCTCCAATAGATGCATCTTGCCGTGAGGTCACTGATGCTTAACCTTGACTTTTCTGCAAGTTAAGCACCTCTCCACATACCAAGCCACACCCCGCTTCATGCAGGGCCACCAATAATCAGGATGAAGATCTCTATACATCTTCGTTGCCCTGGGATGAATGAAGAATCTAGACTTGTGCGCCGCCTCCATCTGTACTTGATGCACACTGCCCCAATACAAAACCTATACCATCCACTGAAGAATCAACAACCCACAACTATCATAATCAAAAGAAGCCACCTGACCAACAATACGCTCACTCTTCCGGTGCTTTTCCTTCATAGCCTCTATCCGAGCCTCATGAATCCACTCCAAAAGTGGTCACATTCATCCTCAAACATATATCCCTGATCGAATTGGCGATTGCCTTGCGGCTGAGAGCATCGACCATCACATTAGCCTTCTTCGGATGGTAAAGGATCTCACAATCATAATCCTTCACCACATCCAACCACCAGCGTTGCTTCATATTCACATTTAGCTGATCCATCAAATACCTCAGGCTCTTGCGATCTGTGTAAATAGTATAGCGGACTCCATAGAGGTAATGTTGCCAAATCTTGAGGGCGAAAACCACAACCCCCAACTCCAAATCATGTTTTGGATAGTTCGCTTCATGAGGCTTCAGTTGCCTCGAAGTGTAAGCGGCCACGCGACCCCTTTGCATCAACACTGCTCCCAAACATATGATCGATGCATCAAAAAAAACCAAAAAATCCTCAACACCCTTCGACAGGGTTAAAATCGGCGCCTCGTATAATCTCTTTCTCAGGGTCTCAAAAGCTGCCTACTGTTCTGGCCCCCAGCAAAAAGTGATCATCTTCTTTGTCAACTATGTCAAAGGAACAACTATCTTGGGGAAATCCCGGAGGAATCTTCGATATTAACCTACTAAACCGAGGAACTCCGAATCTCAGATGGAGACCTCAAAACCTCCCACCGCATCACGGTCTCGACCTTGGCCGGATCGACGAGAATACCATTCTGGCTGATAAGATGCCACAAAAACTGCACCTCCCACAACCAAAACCCACACTTGGAGAACTTTGCGAAAAGTCTCTCCCTCCTCAAAGTCTCCAACACCTCCCTCAAGTGCTGCTCGTGCTGCTCCTGGGTCTTAGAATAGACGAATATATCATCAATAAATACAATCACAGACCGATCCAGCGTCGGCTTGCATATGTGGTTCATGAGATCCATGAACGCGGCTGGGGCATTGGTAAGACCAAAAGGCATCACCACGAACTCGTAATGACCATAACAATTCTGGAAATCCGTCTTCTGCACATCCTCATCTATAACTCTCATCTAATGATGACCCGAACGCAAATCAATCTTGGAAAACCAAGATGCACCCTAAAGCTGGTCGAGCAGATCATTAATCCTTAGGAGTGATAACGGTTCTTCACCGTTACCTTATTTAGCTCTCGGTATTCAATGCACATACAATGAAACCCATCATTCTTCTTCACAAATAAGATAGGTGCTACCAATGGCGAACTGCTCGGTTGAATAAATCCCTCGTATAACAACTCGTGCAACTGTGTAGAAAACTACTGTATATCGGGAGGAGCTAACCGACACGGTGCCTTGGCTATCAGCGCTGCACCTGGAACTAGATCAATCTGGAACTCAACCTGCCACTCCAGAGGCACCCCAAGAAAATCCGATGGAAACGCATCATTATATTCCCATGCAATCGGGACATCATCAATAAATGCCTTACCCTTATCCCGGGTATCCATAAAATAGACAACAAATCTAAAACAACCCTCTTGAATATAACGCCTGACCCTTGCTGCTGAACACAAGATCGACCCACGCTGAACTCTCTCTCCCTGAACCACTAAATCTCCCCCACTTGGGGATCAAATCTGAACTAACTGTTGCTCACAATCGATAACCACCCCATTGGGGCTCAACCGATC